TTTGGCCCAACTGCAGTTCTAAACAGATGTCTGTAAATATTGTAGAAAAGATCCCCCAGAAAGTTGGTGGGTGTTACTGATGAGTGGCTGTGGACGTTTTTGTTGGGAAACAGGCAACGGCTGTCTCTCTCCCCCCTCTGTGGATGACTAGCCTGCCATAGGAACATATAATCCCTTTGTTTTCCTACGGACTATCTTAACCAATATGGCTTCTTTTAAAGCAGTGTTTCTCAATTTGTGGAGGTTTTTTTTAAGATTTATTTGTTTATTTATTTGACAGAGAGAGAGACAGTGAGAGCAGAAACACAAGCAGTGGGAGTGGGAGAGGGAGAGCAGGCTTCCCTCCGAGGAGGGAGCCCGACGCGGGACTCGATCCCAGCGCCCTGGGATCATGACCTGAGCCGAAGGCAGACGCATAACGACTGAGCCACCCAGGCGCCCTCAATTTGTGGAGGTTTTGCCCCTCTTCCCTATCCCACTCCGGGGACATTTGACCACGTCTAGTGATATTTTTTATTGTCATGGCTGGCAGTGGGAGGCATTACTGTTGTGTAGCGGGTAGAGACCAGAGATGCTACTAATCCTACAAAGCATAAGGCAACCCCCACCCCTAGCAAAGGATGATTTGGCCAAAATGTCAATTGGGCCCAAGTTGTCTTAAAGTAATAATACCTTGTTTTAGTATGTCTTGTTCATTCATTCATTTATTCATCATTCAACACATACTTATTATTGAACATAGAGAATACCCAGGTAGTCCTATTTCTGTGTATTGCTGGATTCATCAGTTCACTCATGTAATGAGTGTTTATTGAGCATTGACTCCAGGCCAGGCACTGGGGTCTTGAATGGCACAGTCAGGGTCTTTCCTCATCTGGGGTTCACTTACTAGTGGAAGGGAGACAAGAGTCTCAAGAAGCCAACAGATGAACAAGATCATTTCTACCAGTGATAAATACGGTGGAGATTGGTCGAACAGAGTAAAAAGAGCCACCTGGGTGGGTGGCTGTGTAGGAAGGACCCCTCAGGAGGGGCTTACGGAAGGTCTCTCTATTTAGGTCACATTGAAGCTGAGATATGAATGGGTGGAAGAAAGCAACTCTCTGAAAATCTGGAGGAGGAGTATTCAAAATACCTCTGTTCCCAAAGGCTTGGGTAGTTTCAGGACCAGGGACACGCAGGCCACTGCAACTCGGATGAAGGAGGCGAAGTGGACAGCAAGAAGATGATGAGGGGCAGGAGTTACGACCAAAGCTGTACAGTCCAGGAAAGAATTCAGACGGCAGATCAGGTGTAGTGGGAAGTCACAGAGGGATTTTAAGCAGGGTGGACACGGTCTGGGTTAGGGAGTGATAAGGGTGATGGTGATAAGGTGATAAGTGATAAGGCCCAAGGGTGGGCTGCTGGGTGGAGAATGCCCTGCACTGGGGCAAGATGGAAGTGAGGGGCCAGTCAGAAGCTCATGCAGGAGGGAGACCAGCTTAGACCACAGTGCCATGAGTGTGAAAAAGAGAGCAAGTGGGTGAATTGCGGAAGTATTTGGAATAAAGTCCCCAGACTTGCCTGGATAGATCCCTGACTCAGTCCACCACGACTGCCAGCCTCAGGTTCCCGCCTCTGGTCAGTGCGGGTCCTCGCAGAACCTGTCCTGACTTAACTCCCACATGCATGGGGCTCCACTGTCCCCCACTGCCTTACATGAGCAGACCCTCCCTAATGCGCGCTGAGCTCAGGTTAGCGCCCCCCGCCCATTCCCAAGTCAGGTCAAGAGCTTCCTTGAATATCAGACTTCTGCAGCTGGAGCCTGGGACCCAGTCTCACAATTTTTGCTTCTTCCCTAGTGGATCATACCCTTGGGGTCCCAATGTGGCACCTCCTGACCATGACCCATTAGCAGCCTCCCATGGGACTTAGACTAAACTCCAGATTTCTATCTGGGCCCTGCTCACCTACCCCAGTACTCCTTTTTTAAAAAATTTTTTAATTTAAATTCAATTTAATTAACATATACTGTATTACTAGTTTCAGTGGTAGAATTCATTGATTCATCAGTTTCATACAACACCCAGTGCTCATTACTTCACAAGCCCTCTTTAATGCCCATCACCCAGTTACCCTTTCCCCCCACCAACCTCCCCTTCAGCAACCCTCAGTTTGTTCCCAGGAGTGAAGAGTCTCTTATGGTTTGCCTCCTTCTCTGTTTTCCTCTTCTTTTATTTTTCCTTCCCTTCCTTCCCTTCCCCTAGGTTCACCCGTTTTGTTTCTTAAATTCCACATGAGTGAAATCATATGATATTTATCTTTCTGACTGATTTCGCTTAGCATAATACCCTCTAACCCTCTAGTTCCATCCACATCATTGCAAATAGCAAGATTTCATTCTTTTTGATGGCTGAGTGATATTCCACTGTGTGTGTGTGTGTGTGTGTGTACACACACACACACACACACATATGCCACATCTTCTTTATCCATTCATCTGTCAATGGACATCTGGGCTCTTTCCACAGTTTGGCTATTGTGGACACTGCTACTATAAACATTGCGGTGCAGGTGCCCCTTGGAATCACTGTTTGTATCCTTTGGATAAACACCATTCCCACATTTGCTCATACCAACCTGTGGAAAGGGGCCACATAAGCCTTGTCCTTTTACTTTTGAGGGTCTCTCTGCCCTGGAGGCACTTTTCTGTAGCTTTCAGCCTCTTTCATGTCCCAGCTCGCGTGATACCTAACCTTTCTTGTCTGAAGTCACTGTACCAAATGCATTTTCAATGAGTGCGATACCATCCCCCAAAGGGATAAAAATTGGTTCTTGGAGGATGAAAAAAATCTTACTCTTTTAATCGGTAAAGCACAGATATACATGTAGGACATAAACAGAAGGACAGCTAGCTAGATGATAGGTAGCTGAATTGATATAGAGATAGATGGTATACCTATGGTATTAAAATATCATAGAGGGGATTCATCAGGAAAATAAGTCTAAAAAGTCTCCTGTGAGGGGCAGATAATAAGGAAAAAAGGGTCGAAAACCACTGGTCTGTGAAAACTGTCTTCCCGCTCCACTTACTTCCAACATATACCCTCATTTAATTCCTTTCAGGAACTTATGACAATTTGCAAATACCCTGTTGATTTCTGTTCACTGTCCAGTATTTTCTGCCCCTCCCTCCATCCCTCTAAATGTAAGCTACTTGAAACCCAGGTATTTTGGCTGTCTGTTCACCACTGTGTCCTCAGCATCTATCTGCACAGTGCTGAGCATATAGTAATTATTCAATACCTATTTGTGACCAAGAAATGATTTCAAATACGAGAATAAGGACCCACTGGGTCAACTGGACCCCTCCTGGATTTCAAATCTCACTTAAATGCTTCCCTTTTAAACACTCAGTTTAAGTATAAGCCCCCTTCTTTGTCCCATAGTCAAGTTAATCTCTTAGCCCTGGTCTTGACTACCCCCGGTTTTCTCTCCTCTCTGACCACTGAGAACCCGGAACCATGCAGTCCAGCCCTTCTCTATGCCACTGAGACACCACAGTGAATACCATATGTATGTCTGACTCAGTAAATTAAAAACGTTTTCAAGGAAAGTATAACAGTAGGCTAGCCATCTTGGAGATTACACAGCAGAGGGAATGCATGATTATCTGATTTACCAAGAAACCGAATCACAGTGAACATCTGCAAAAGAAAAAAAGACCGGAAGGATGCAAGCCAAAATGTTGGCAGTGTTATCTCTGGAATGTGCACTTGCAGTTTATTTTCTCCTTACGCTTCTGTTCTTACTTTAGGACTTTCCTACAATAAGCATGTTATTTCTTTTATCAGAAGACACAAGGGTTTTGGTGGCTGTTTTAAGACCATTCATGATACTGCAGTATCAAAGAAGCAGATACAGGTGTACTCCTGGTCCATTCACCCAAGACCGGTTCTCCTTGATTATGTGGGGACCCCCACAAAGCTTTTTTTAGGGCAATTTCTGTGCTTAGGGGAGCCACTGGATTTCGGCCAACTTAGTTCATTAGGCAAATAGCACCAGCTTTATTGCCAGGACAATACCTACTATCTGTATCACAGAACATTATGTTTGTTAGCTTTTCCAAGGATGTCTGTGGCTCCCCAAAGTACAAAAAAATTCTTGTAAGGCACTCACCCATGCAAAATGCAAAAGCCAAACAAACACAAAACACATTCCTACATATTTTAAGATATTTCTCAGGGGGCTTCATGGCTCCCCGAAGCCAACGGCCTGACCTAGGAAGATTTCTTAGTGAAATGTCTCTTGAAACCTACGTTATACCTCTTTACTTTCTCTGCGCAGGTAGCTACCAAGACTGGCTACCCAAATGTCCAGAACGTCCCTGATCCTGGAGGATTTTCTAGACCCTGCCTCTTTCTAGCACATCCCACCTGCCCCAGTTCGTGCAGCAAGTTCATGCTTCAGTATCCTGAAAGGTTACATTATGGAGTCTAGATTTTTTTCGTGATCAAGGAACGCTTTCAAATGCTAGAACTTTTGGCAGATCAGTTAACAAACACACTCAGTTCAATACTAGACCCAACAATTCATTCATAATTACAGTGCCCATTGTGACAGCTAACAGCAGTGAGTTTAGCATATAAAACATTTCAGCTCTGAGCCACTGTCTGCCCCAACCTTGATGTCATCTACTCACATGAGGTGATAATATAAATGATGCTGCAGCAATATTCATGCCCTCTGAGAACCCAGGTGGATCGTCCACACCCATGAAAACTTGGTGGCCTCTCTGAGAAGGACTCATAGTGGTAGGTTGAGGCACATGGTTTGAGAACCACTATGGAACTTAGAGTATTTCTTACATCCAAAGCCCAAACTATAGGACAATGACTTTTAGGACCCTCATTTTAAAACGAACAAACCTGGAGAATAATCTTTGAATAAAAGATTGTATCTGGCTGCCCAAATCTCCCTGGGCTAAAAAGAGATTATTTGCTGGGGGCAAACATTCTTACCTCCTCCAGGGCCCAAAGGGAGTCTACCACGGGCTTGATCTTCTTGTGGTTATAGAGCCCAATGAGTTTGTCCACCACTCCTCGAATGAGGCCTGCACGGCCCTGTTTGAAGAGCAGATTTAAAAGGGAAAATCCCGCGATGACTTTGTTCTCTTCGTAGAGCTTGATGGGGTTCACCTTCTCGACCTGCCACCACTGGAAGGAGAGAAGGTGTCCGTTACAAGGAACCAAAGCCAGCCGTGTTCCCAGCATCGTGTGCAGAGAATAGGGGTGCAGTGGGACATTCCACCTGGCCAAGGGGTGGTCCTTGTTGGGGTATTTTTTAAGGCAGCTATTTAGCCAGGGATTGCTGTGAGTGCATGGTGATGCTTATGAGCAGAGCACAGGGTCTAGGTGGGAGAGAGGAACAAACTTCCTGAAAACAGCTGTTGGGCCACACGTCATCAGAACACTGAGGCACAGGGTTAGGACTGTCGGCTCCGGAGCTGAATCCTGCCATTGCTTGTGCTCCCTGTCCTTCTGTGTGCTTCATATCCCGGGGCTGCAGAGAGTGGCAGGGCCACGAAGCCTTCTCAGGCATCTGAAGAGTTTAGCTGATGAATGGTGGGGAAGGAGAGGGGTGGCAGAGAAGTCCACCGAGTGTGGTGGGGACTCAGTGGGATGGTGACCCAGCCACAAGAGCAGCTTTCCTAGGGGGAATGATGGCACAGCTGGAGAGGTGGGTAGGAATCCACCAGAGAAAGAGTGAGGGAACATAATTCAGGCATGATGGAGCGTGAAGCCGTAGTGTTGGGACGAAGCCAGCGGTTCCTATCTGAGGGACAGTTGGTAATGCCTGGGGGTGTTTTTGTGGTGGTGACTGGAGGGGAGGGGAAGCTCCCGGCATCTAGTGGGTAGAAGCCAGGGGTGCTGGTGAACATCCCACAGTGCACTGGGCAACCCCTCATGACAAAGAGTTATCCAGCCCCAAATGCCAATAGCGCTGAAGTCCTAGATGGGACACGCACACAAGTGGCAAGTGTGGCTATTTCCAGCTTCTCATCCCCCACTTCAGACATGAAAGTAAGTAAATAATCCACTAACAGACTATAGAAATGGTTATCCAACTGTTTTGTCCTGATTTAACTGCATTTTCTTTGGTGCTGGTCAGAATTTAGAAATGGCAAGTTCCAGTTTCTAATGGCTCTAAGGAGAAGTGGTGAATCGTTTAAAAGAGAAGGCAGAGAGGAATGTGATGGGCACTTAGGGACATTCATAATATTTATGTCAATGGGGTGTTATTTACATCCTGCCTCTTTCCTGAATTGTGGGAGCTCATGAAAGCTCACAAAAGATTTTGATATATATTTTTTAAGTGGGACAATCATATTGTTAGGAAAATAAGTGTGAGAAAGACAAGTCAAAAAAAGGGATAAGGTTCATGCACGAAATTCTTTACTAATGTACATCCCCTGAGGGCCTGGAGGCCAGCTCGAGGAAAGACATGTATTTGGCCATGGGCTGGCTTCCCACAAACACAAAGTAGAGAAATGATTAATGACTTGTTTCATGGTGCATCTGCAATGTCCAAGTAAATGTTTGTGAAATGAATGCTTGCTAAATCTGCAATTCCTGAAGCTATGGTTAAGGGAGTTCTAGAGCCAAATGCCTGGTTTTGAATCCCAGTTCTGCCACTTACTAGCTGCGTGCGCAACTTTAGGCAAGTCACCTAACCTCTCTGTGCTAAATTTCCCTACTGTATCTCATGGGGTCAATCATGAGGAACAAATGTGTTAATATATACAAAATTCTTAGAACAGTGTCTGACCTGGAGTAGGTTTTCTATAAATATAAAGTATTTCTGTTATCTTTGATTTAGAGAGGAGGAGCTCTGAATTGGAGGCAGATTGCTCTCTAGGTGTTAACCATTGTTAACCAATGCTATAGTCTAAAAGCAAATGGCATGTTTGACAAAGAGTGAGTACCAGCTCTGCAAGAGTTTTAAGGTGGAACATAATTAGGATATCCAAGTGAGAAATTCTTTTATAGGTCCAAGTATGGCTTTATTTTCTAAGCCTCTCTCCAATATATAGAAGAAAATTCCTTTCTAGAACCTCCTAGAACAAAGTCATCATTCCACTCCTTGGCATGCCCTATCTTCATTTTGCTTCTCACTGACGAACTAATATTGGACCTGACCTCTGAAAGGAAATAGTCTTTGTTCTTGACCTCCAACTATGTAGCATTCTTCTAATCAGCACCGCTGTTTCAGGCAGGAGAATCTCAACCTCCATCCTGGCCGTGTTTTTATGAGTGCCTTCACTGAACCTGGGCACACTGCAGTTATTTCATTAACACTGTGTGTTCTGATTGTGTGTTTAGGGGAGAAAAGGAAAACACTTCTTACAAACTGCATGTAATTTGGGATCAGTTTGGTTACCCACAGCAGGCTGTCAGCATCACGTTAATTACAGCCACAGCAACGAAACAGCTGCAAGTGGCACAAAGCCTATGTTCATGGGACTTGCTCCAGACAGCATCCTTCATTACACTCCATTCTTGCTCCCTTACAGATTCTGTCATTGCAGTGATCCTTGATCTAAACTCGGAAGTTCAAAGGCAAAGACAGGCCCTTTAATTCTACTGTCACAGGGCGGGAGTACGAATCATTCCAGAATCAGGGAATGTTTGGGGGTGAAGCCTTGTGCAGCCACAACGTTGGCACTTAGGGGGCATATGAATACCCCATAGTGCCACCCATAGAATGATTTTTATGGCTTTCCCTGGCCACCCTATTCCAGATGCCTCCACCCCATCCTGCATCCTATTTTGAATCCCTTTCAGAGTTCTTATGACCATTTACAATAACCATCTTATTAATGTATTTTACTTCTTTCAGTTTGTCTCCCTCATTAGAATGTGAGAGTCACAAGGGGCTAATATGTGCCCATCTCATTCACTGCACACATGGCAGGTGCTCAGACGGTGCTCGCAAAGTGAGTGAACCAATCATGATGCGCTGGCTGCTTAGGAGGCTCAGGGGAGATAAGAGCAAGCTCTCGTGAGAAGCAGCAATTCCCTGTTGGGGGGCAGGGGTAAAAACTGAAGTTCAAGTCCAACTTAGCTTAATTCTAGCAAGTGTTGCTCTAGGTGGGAATATAGGTCAGAGTAGGTTGGAATGCCCAGGGATGTGGTTTCTCAATCGCAAAGTAACCACTACATTCAGAGCATGATTGTTTAAGCTAGTGGTTCACAGATTTGCCTGTGTCTAAAATCACCCAGGGGGCTCACTACAATTGTGGGATCCCATTTGGATCTCCAACTCAGTAGAATGGAGATACAGAGAAATCTTAAGGACCCCCAGAGACCTGGTCAGAAACCAACTCAAGCAAATAAAATTCACTTAATGCCAAGTTTATTTTTGACCAATGAATGATTAAAAACACAAAAACTTAAGCAATCTCTGTTGAAATCAAAATAAAGCTTTCTTGAGTTTCTCGGGTGCTCCCACCTCTCTGCTTCATTTAGACAAAGCAGCCAAAGTTTATACAGAGTCTTGTTCATGTGTAGTGACCAGGGTGGGAACACAGGGTTTATTGAAAATGAATGATGCAGATGAAGGACAAACAAGGTTTAGGTTATTAGGTCAAAGTCTTTAGATGGAAGAGCTCACAACATGCAAATCATGCACTACCATAGTACATTTGACATGTACAAATACTTACTGATTTTGCAAAGCTAAAGAAGCTCTTGGTCTCTCCAGTCACCATGTTGGATGAACCTGCAAATGGAGGATTCCCAAGTCAAGCTATTGCTAATGAAAACCAACATCTCTTGCTACACACAGAAGAATGGCAGTTGTTTGGTCCAGAACTGTCAAGAGCTTGAAAAAACTTTAATGCAGCCTTGGAAAAATGAGGGAAATGAAGGGAGTGGGTGGCATCAAGTTGACTTAATTTTAGCCAAGTGTCACTGGATCAAAGAGAAAGTATTTCTCAAGGTGACCATGTCATTACTTTGGAAAATTGGGCATGTAGCAAGAATGTGATTTAGACCCACTTTCTAATAAAATGATAAGTTGCTTGAAATGTCTTATTGGTTCCATTCTTCAAGACTGGGAAATGAAGTCCTATATGAGTCTAACTCATGATTTGAATTTGATTCCTTAACAAGTGAAGGGCTTGGGGCTCTGGTGGGCTGGGCACTTAAGCTGCAGGGAGAGATAGGACTGAGCTAGAATTTAGATGGAAAACTGGGGTACAGAAGAGCAGGTGAGAGTGAATATAGGTTCAGGAGCCCAAGAAGTGGTGTGATCAACGTACTAGCTCCAAAGAAATCTGAGCAGAGAGGACAAAACCACTTGAGACAAATGGTATGAGAAACTGTGCTTGGTTAAAGGGAAAGGGCAATATTCAGACGGAAGATGGGAGATGGTGTTAGGAAGATTTGCGAAGATGCTCTTACAGAGAGAAGAGACCCCTTTGTGTGGTTCTTGGGGATACAGAGGGGATGAGAGCTCTTAAGAGATCAGATGCCATATTGGTGCCTTTTCAACAACTTTCCTGCCTTGTCCCCAAAGATTGGGAATAAGTCCTTCTCAGAGAACCATTATTTAATGAAAAAGCAATGTATATTTGGAACTTCATTATTTGGCCTGGGTAGACTAGTAGCGAGTTAATCACTGTTCTGCTTTTATGGGGTGACTACCACCAAGCATTGTGGTACCAGGCTTTGGTTGCTTTGTAATCAGTGTAATCAGTTAGATCCTTGTGAGATGATAAAATTGTATTCTGACAAGTGACATCATGGAACTGGGGCAAAAATGGAACTGGTGAATAAGAAAGAATAAATTGTCTATCAACATTTGACTCACATGTTAGTCATATCCAATGTCCCCACATTGGGCATTGACGCTCACAGCTTCTTTTATCAATAATAGTAATAATTAAAGAATTATGCATCTACTTGCAAAGACTTTCAGCTATGTGGTCACTATTGAAAATACCAGAACACCAGCAACGGGAAGCTTATTCCCTCTCTTTCTGTCATAATCATGATGATAAGATGCTTAAATATTTATACCTCTCAAATATCTTTTATAAGCTTCTCAGTGACTAGCAGGGAAATGAATACTTTTTCCTGAGTCATACAGAGCTAAGGCTCAATTTTCTAATGGACCTATAGGGGACAGAAGTGCCAAAAATCTCAAACATTGGATAATCCCAGTATCCTTTGGCTTTGGAATATGATATCTGGCTTCTCAGGTAGGCTTTCTTTGACTTTGTAGAGACTAATGTTTAAATTAGTTTACAATCATGTAACAGAAGAGAGGAAGAAGAGAGGGAGGTGGCTCTGGGGTCTCATTCTGCTGGAGAAAATCTCCCAGATATTGTTCATAAATCCCCTCAAACTCAAGAGCATATCAGGGGCTGTAAAGGCATAGGTATGCTGCAACCATTCAGGGTTTCTTTGTGATCAGGATATATAGGAGTAGTTTAGAATAGGAAGGAGTTGTAATTTGCAACTTCATCTCCAGTAGGGAAGGATCTCCCTTAAAACTGCCATATCTTAGCCACCCCTCCCGTCCTACTGTGGGTCCTTCATTCCTTCATTTTTTGAATTTCCTTTGAAGCCATTAATATTTCCCACCTGTGCCACCTTCTGTGGGTCAAGTTAATGACTACACTGTCTTGACCTTCCTTTACCCCTTTTGGAATGAGAAGTATTCATAGGGATAATAGGGCAGTAGGCACATGTGTTACTTTTATAATTGAAAATAACTAATGGCGATAGCAATATTATGGAAAATACTTAAAAAGCCCTCCTGGAGTGCCTGGGTGGCTTAGTTGAGGGTCCAACTCGTGGTTTTGGCTCAGGTCATGTTCTCATGGGTTGTGAGATCAAGCTCCGAGATGGGTTCCATGCCCAGTGGGGAGTCTGCTTGAAGATTCTCTCCCTCTGTCCCCTCCCAAAATAAACAAATAAATCTTTAAAAAAATTAAGTCCTCCCAATCTCATTACCCCAACATATCAACACATTTTATTCATCAGAGCTTTTGTAAGCATGCGTGCAGCGCTCCCTATTGCGGACTTACCCTCTTGTCTTCAGCACTTACCATATAAAATATAGGTTCCCAGTGGTTTGAGAAGGCTGAGACCTTTTCCAGTGTTATCCCCACAGAGGCAATCCAAAACAATGTCCACTCCTTCAGGAGAGATTCTAAATGGTGTGAAAACAAAGTAAGATACTGTCACCTGTTAGGGACCAAACTTTTGATTGCTCTCCCTTCCTGTGTCATGTTGTTTACTCCTAGAATCAGAAAGAGCTAGAGCTCCAGGAGTAGCCATAAATAGGCCAGGAGGCCAGGAGGTGGATTTACCTTTCTGGGTTCCACTCAAGAACTTCACAGAGCTGGAGGCAGCTAAAAGTCTGGCTGGTGGCTGATATCAGGAGCCAGCCTGGGTTAGGAGAATGAGCGTGGACATCACACTCATTGAATGAATACATTTGAATTTGTATCTAGCCACCTCTTGCAACTTCTCTGAGCCTTAGCTTTGTCCTTCATAAAGTGGAACAAGCATGTTTCTTTGTGCTGGGGATGAAATGAGGTGTCAAATGCTTGACCCATTGCCAGCCACACAACCATCACTCCAAAGTCAGTCACTCAACAGTTCCTATCTGTGGAGCTTGAGCTATGGCCTAGGCTCTGTCCGAGGTGCTAGAGACAGAGATGGGGGAACAAAACCAACATGTTCCTGTCTTCATGGGGTTTCCAGTCCAGCAGGGATTAGCTTTTCTCCCCTTCTCCCTCTCTCCTCAGTGAAGCACATTAATTTAACTCACAAACTTGTATTCATCCAGTCTCTAGGTTCAATCTAAAATGGAATCTTTGAGGAAGAAGGTTAAATAGACAGGATCTCGGGGCGCCTAGTTGGTTCAGTTGGTTAAGCAGCTGACTCTTGGTTTTGGCTCAGGTCATGATCTCAGGGTCCTGGGGTCAAGCCCCATATTGGGCTCCATGCTCAGGGGGAAGTCTGCTTGAGGATTCTCTTTTTCCCTCTCTCTCTGCCCCTCGCCCCCATTCTCTTTCTCTCTCTCTCTCAAATAAATAAATCTTAAAAAAAAAAGAGAGGATCTTCCTGTAGAGTAGAAGGCTCCAGAGTAGAGAGAATCCATATTTGTACTGTATTAAGCAGATGAAACATTTTTTGATCCCTTCTTCCATTAATATATTTATACATTCATTGATTCACTCACTCACTCATGCATTTAGCAAACATCTACTGGGCTTCCACTGTTAGAAGATATTATGCTTGCGGGAGGGAGCTGTAAACAGGAAGGCTCTGGGGATTGTAAGGAAGATATTCATGCCCCCAGGGCTCCCAGTTATGGCTAGGCCTTGCTCTGCTCAGACAAGAATGGCATTTCTTCAGATTTATGAGTTTGCAGGATTATCTTGTCTTAGCACACAGCTCAGTATTTCTTCCTCCACCTTCATCCCCAAACAAAGTTCAGGCATTGCAGGCACTGCAGCTCATGTCAACAGCTGGATCCTGTTTTCATAAGTAGAAAATTGCATGTGCATCTCTAGGGTTCAGACACTAAGTCAACTGCCCCATGCCCGAGGACAGCCAAGTAGTGACTTTCAAAAGCTGTCATGACCTTCAAAAGCCTTTGAGTCAAGTCCAAACTCCAGTCATTACAAAGACTCATCAAAAATTATCAGCTTAGCTTTTGCCTAATAGAATGCTTATCTGTAGAGGTATGTCTGTTCATGTCCCACCTATAAATTCAGAACTAGGAAATTAGGCCAGTGGATCTAAAACAACTGTGCATCAGAATCTTCCGGGGGCGGGGGGCACTCGTTAAAACAGATTGCAATTTGCCCTCCTTCCCCCTCTTCTCCTAGCTTCTGATTCAGTTGGTTTGGGGTGGGCCCCAAAGATGTGCATTTCTAACAGGTTCTCAGGAGATACTGATGCTGCTGATTCTGGATCCACACTTTAGTCTAAGCCAGCTACTCGGGAGCCAAACTGGCTATTTTTTTTTTTATCAATAATTAATTTGTTCATTAAATATTTGGCCCTGGCACTGCACTAGGCACTGGAGATGCAGGTGTAAGCCCAAACAGATTGGATTTCTCCCCTTTTAGAACTGCTATTAGGTAGATGTTAACCTATAATTACACAAATAAAAATTAAATTGAAATTGAGTGGTGTCTAGTGCCACAAGACCGTATCAATCTAGAGTTTGCTCAGTCAGGTCTGCCAGAGAATGCATCCCTGGGAAAATGCAAAGTGGAGAAGTTATCTAGGTAAAGAGTGGCAGGAATAATGTTTCAGGTAGGGGGGAACAGCATATGAAAAGGTCCTGTGGTGGGAGAAAGCCTGTGAGCAGGAACACTGGGAAGCAGCCAGTAAAGAAAATGTAAAGAGGTGAGGCCTGAGAGGCAGTTGGGAGTTGGAATACACAGACTCCACTGGTGGGCTCTAGGTTGATGCCTCACACCTGGTGATCAGGTCTCCACCTTGCATCATGGGTTGGGTAGCTCTGCACCTGTATTCCTCACTTCTACCAAGTGTGTTCACTCCTGTGGAAGTAGGACCCCACTCTGCTTCTACGACCAGCCCTCCTGGCCCACCAGGTCTTCCCTGCAAACTCCATTTCCCCAGGACCTCTTTCCTTTACTGCAAGATGCCCACCTGTGCTCAGGAGCAGCCTCCCAAATGCTGGGCTATGCACACCTTTGGGGGTGCCTCTGAAGGACCTGTCCAGACCCAAATGCTCACATCTTGCCTAATGTTCCTCACATCTGTATTCTGTGAGTGCACATTTCCTCCCATAAACTGCCAGTCACACCTCTTTGTATTAATTAGCTGCCTCATCTAGGCCTGTTGCTCTGTCCTCTGGTTCTGCAGAAATGCAAGGCAGCCCACAGCAAGGGGTGACCTATAAGCTACTGCCCACTTCCTCATCCTTACTTGCCACTAACTGCTCAGGGCATTCTGACCTTGTAGCAATTCCTAAAATGTTCCTACCTCAGGACCTTCGCCTATGCCATAATCTCTGCCAGAACAGCCTTTCCCCAGTTCTCCTTAGAGCTGGCTCCTTCTCATCTTCCAGGTCTTATTCACATGTGAACTCCCCAGAAATGCTGGAACTAACCACCCGGCCTGGAGCAGCAGCCCCAAATTATCTCTACTTTAGCTCCCTTTGTGCTTTAGCATCTGTACTAAAGACACTTTTCAGCTTGTCATGGGCTGCAATTATTCTATGGTCTCTTCCACCAAAATGTAAGCCCCATGAGACAGGGACCATGTTTGTGCTGCCTGTTTTATCCTCAATCCTCCTTATCCTGCAGGACACAGTGTTAGTTCTCAACAAATATTGATTGATTATATCAATAGATGATTAAATAAATGATGAGTGAATGAATGCAGGACAAAGAAGAGAACATTTTAAGACTGGTATTCCACATTTCTATATGTGTGCTTCCTTCAAAGGAAACTCACATTTTCTGAGCTCTGCTGTATCCCGGGCATTTCAGAATTAATCTTCATGACAAGTCTGAGACAGGCATTTTTTTTTTTTTTTAAGATTTTATTTATTTGACAGAGAGAGACACAGCGAGAGAGGGAACACAAGCAGGGGGAGTGGGAGAGGGAGAAGCAGGCTTCCCGCGGAGCAGGGAGCCCAATGTGGGGCTCGATCCCAGGACCCTGGGATCATGACCTCAGCCGAAGGCAGACGCTTAACGACTGAGCCACCCAGGCGCCCCATGAGACAGGCATTTTAACTCCACTTTTTTGAGGAAGAAATGGAGGTTCTCAGATGCAGCGCCTTGCCCAAGCTTATGTAACTGGTACACCTAGAATTCAAACCTTGGTCCAGTTGAACTCCAGAGCAATGGCCTTGCCACCATTCGGAATGTAAGATCTAATAAATGTTCCAATCAGTCTAACTATAGAAGCATTGTTTGAGGAAGCAGCTCTGGGAAGCAGTCAATTTAATTTATTCTTTGAAAAATTCTGTTTTAAATGCTGTCTTTAAAAATAAATATAGATATATCCAGAGTTAGACCATGTTACTCCAAACAGATAGGCCAGGAGGTTTCTATTTGGAAGCTGCTTTTTTCTGTCCTAGATTATAGGAGAGGCCCAAGGTCAGGGTCCTACACATTTGTCCTAAATTTCCAGCCACTGGACAACCACTCACTGAGTGCTTACTTCATGCTGGACAGTGTGTGTGCTGAGCTGGGGGTACGCAGATGAGGGCTCAGTTTCCTCCCTGACATCCAGGAGCTCGTGGATACTAGGGAAGACAGACTAAATGGACAGCCCAGGCAGTCACCACAGGTCCAATGGAGCCACTTGGGGCAGTGGAATAGGATCCTTCTGTTAGTGATGAGCAAGAATTGGTTGGGTGATGAAGGAAAGGCATTTTGCAGAAAACACTGTGACAGGTTGACCCAGGGCAATCAGCACCAAATAGGCCCAAGGAAGAGGCGTTGGGGCACCAACCATGGTAATGAGAGACTCTGTCTGGACACTGTCTCCTTCCAGAAGGACCCAAGCATGTCTGCCACAACTGACAACTAACATGGAGTGTTGGGCAGGCATGGGAATATGAATTTCACCTCAGTATTGAGCATTTAGTTTGCCACCTACTTGCTATGTGACCCCAGGTGAGTTACTTAGCCGGAATGATGGTGATAACTCCCATCCCAAGCTTCTCTGTGAAGCTTGGATGAGTTGATGCACATGGAACATAGGGCCTGGCGCATGGTAACTTCTGGGTCCATGGTAGCTTTTCTTATTATTTTTTCAGAGTGGGCCAACTTAAAGGGAATTCTTTTAGTTTGGGAAAAGAGTATAAAGGAAAGATTGCAAAACCTCAACAACCCAACCATTAACCCCAGCAACCTTCAGGGTGGGTGGAACCAGGCAGCCCAAAAACCATTAGAGCAGAGGCTTGATACCCTTGACGCTCCTAGGAGAGCAGGTCCCACTTTCAAGAGCACTTACTATGTGCCAGGCACAGAGCTAAGTACTTCCTAAGTCCCATCTCCTTGAGGACGCCTCATACCAACCCTATAACTCAGGGGTCATCATTATCCCCACTTAATGGATAAGGAAGCTGAGGCTCCATGGGGTCAGGCAACATACCCTAGGGCCCACTACAGGGAATGAGGAACCTTGATCCATCACATCCAGACACCA